ATCTCCCACATTCCTTGAAAATAACCCAAAACCCTTTCTAGAAAATGCGAAACACGACTCACATGCCTACGTATCCTCATTTTCTAGTGGGTGAAAATTCTTGAGGAATCTCCCACATTCTTTGAAAATAACCCAATCCCTTTCTAGAAAATGAGAAACGCGACTCACATGCCTACATATCCTGATTTCTAGTGCGCTTTAACTAAAAGATCCAAGCCTTGTGCCAAACAATCGCTCGCGCCCTTGCTCCTAGTAGCGATGCCCTTTGTTACTAGTATCTTCTTGCTAGTACTAAGGCCAGGAGCTGGTAGTAGCATCCTTGCTCCTAGTAGTGATACCCTTCGCAACAAAAATCGCTCCGCGCGCTTGTGCCCACTCTTTCCCCATGATATTCGGACTGGAAATTAGGGGTGTGTCTTGAATATTCTGAAGATTTTTCTTGAATTTTCTGTTTCTAGATCTTGAAGATTTTCAAATTATGTTTTCCTGTTTTACTTAAACTCCGTCTTGACTCATCATGATTCATCATGTTTGCTAGAAAACGAGACACCTCACTAGAAAATGAGGAACACGGTGGGATCAAGAAAACAATGTCATGTCTAGAAAATGACCCTGCCAGCATGCCTATGAGACCTGTGCTTCTCATTTCCTAGTGACCTACAGGTCACTAGAAAATGCATTACCTGACCCCTTCCCGGTGAGTTTACCTCCTTGAGACTAAAGAATGCCCGTTTTCCACAGACGTCAACTCCTCCCATTATCTAGTCCGAATATCATGGGAATTAAGTTACCATGTCCGAGACACTTTCCGACATAGGGCATCTATTGGTCGAGTTCCGGGCCTCCTTTTCGCCTTCCGGAGCCAGGGTGGGCACCTGCGTCGCCACATCCGTGTTTGATGGCCCGGTCGACCAAGCAACAGGTCCAAGTTTTAATGACTGTGGATGGTTCAGGCCATTTGCTCCGCTCCCAAAATGATGAAACAATTTAAGGAGTCGGCAAAGTCAACTAGATCTACTCTGCCACTTACTCTGCCTTTTCGGAGGCCCCTGCTGCATCCTGCTACCATCCAAGCGGAAGCCTCCGCTCGCCTCACATGAAAACACTCGCGCCGCCGCCGCGCCTTTGGTGCTCCTGCTCTTGGGGACGCTCTTGAAATCGAATCCGCCACCTTGGAGCTCGTTTTCGACACCTGGACAATCCTGGACACCTGAGGAAAACCCAAAACCTCATGGGTGCCCCTTTTCATTGGTGCTCGGTGTGCAAAAGTAAGCACGTGATGGGTGTGGATGTGGCGGGGGAGATGCACAGCCCGTCCGGAGGAGAACCCAGTTGACCTGTTGCAATCTTTTGCCTCAAACAGTACAGCAGCAAAGACCAGTTTGAGAGACCAGCCGGCTACCCGATCAGCATCTTCATGCATCTTCCAACATCGGGTCTTGGAAATTGGAATGTTCACGACAAACTCGGAAGCCTGGATGGTGTGAAATGGTGTGAAGGGGGTTGGTCTGCAGCCTGGATGGGAAGGCTTGGTCTGACATCCACGCGCTGCTGTCAGGGTGCTTTCCTTCAAAAAATGAGCAGGTGTCGTATGTACCATTTCACAGCGTTGCCCTTGATGACTGTCACATCGTTTAAAGTGTTTGGGTGTCTGGTATCTGAAATCGCTTGTTCCGAACGCCAGTGTGCTGTTGACGTCCAAGGAAATTCCAAAAGAGCTAGGTGGAGGGACATCAATTGCCTTGAACACCAAATGTGCCAAATGCGGTGGACTTTCAAAACGACCGGGCCATGTACTACACTTTGGAAACGACTGGGCTGCTTGGTCTTCTCTGTTTGCACTTCCTCTCAATAGCCACCGGCACTTCCGTCGGTCCGACGGACGCGATCGCCGACTTTAGTCCCTGGCCACAAAGCTGCACAGCAAGCTGGCCATGGCCGTCCTCGGGCGATGCCGAGCGCCACGCTGTCCGTGGGCGTCTTTGCCAGTGGGACTGGCACAGTCCATGTGAGACTGTCATATCACAGAGAGACATCGGTGATTATGTGATCTGTTGGACCCAAAAATATCCACTGAGTCCAATGATGTGCTTGGAAGATCTCCATGTTCTATCCATGGTTCAAAAACACACACCACTACACAGGCAAATGAGTCAACATCATAACGCGGGGACCCATGCAAATCCTACTGTTGAAGGGCGAACTCTGGAGCTCCCACCGGCAGACCGAAAATTCCTAAATGGCTTGAGTCAGAAGCAACTGATACACCATTTTGTCCAAGACATTCAAAGGCATGACAACTGGATATGTTCATAGAACCGTATTATATTCAACATTGCTGCTGGAGCGCCTTGGAACGACGCAAGCAATCGGCTGAAATTCTCTGCTGTCCACCTTTTTTTTATAAATTCCCCCAAGGACAAACAAACAAATGAGTCAATGGACGTCAGACCGGTAGATCGACGACTGGTTACTGGTTGTTGGTTTCACAACCTGAGCACAGAGCTTCTCCCATCTCAAACACCGACGGAAAGGCCTCGCAACTGAAGGCAATTGTCGGAAAAGTCAAAGAAGAGTGCAAGCATTTCTCCGTGAAAGAAGCAAACTTGGCACTCTTATTTGAGACATGGCCATGCTTCACAAATGTCAATTCATGGAGTTCAAGTTCAAACAACAACTTCATGCAAGTCACTGGAGCTGCTATATACTTCTCTATATATGGGTATATTATATTACAATAGGGAGACATTACCAAAGACCTCCTGAAAGAATTCCAATACAAATACCCATTGCTTGGGGGTCTCCCTATTAAAATACACACCCCATATCTCTGTATAGCCCGAAAGATCCCCTGAGACTGTGACTTGCAAAAAGGGTTTGATCTTCTGCAACTGGACCTTTTGCTGAGTGAGGAGATCCTTCACGTGCTCCTCACAATCGCGCAACCAAAAGGGGTTCTTCCTGACTACACCCAGCAAGGCTTTTCTCTTGTCGAGTTTCCGTTCTTTGACCCTGACCTGCACCTTCTGCTCTTGTTTTTTGCTTTGGATCTGTTGCGAGTTGATTTCAACACCAGCCCAAAATGCATTCGGCTAGTGGCTGATGCTGTCAGTGCCAATGAAGGCTCTTGGCAAAAAAGAATAAACAAAGAACTGCTGCTGCCATCTGCTGCCCATGTAACCAATGAATTCATATTATATAATTCCATTGATTGATACCTGATCCAAGAGGGTCGTCACACCCCCTTCACATCTCCCACCAAACTGACCAGGTGACCGGAGGCGTATCTGCTCTCGTCCTGGGAGCCAAGCTCCCCCAAGCCCATGGGGCCACCTTCCTTGCGACCCTTCAGCAGCCTCCGGGAACCCCCCGACGCGACGGTCAGCGGTTCGGCTGAAGGCACGAATCTGCACCATGTCTGGGGGTGGCGACACACAGGTTGATACTTAATGTCTTATAAGCCTTAAGCATGCAACATGTCAAGCCACCCCTTGTGAAAGTAACAGCTGACGAAACGTTCACACCTGCGACACTGTAGAAAAACAATAGACAGCAACATGCAACTGTCCTTCCATGTTCTGCACGACATCAAGATTCCAACAACTCATTCTTTGGGTGGTGCAACCAGGCCTACCATAGTTGTGGACCCATTCAGAAAACTAACGCACGCACCAAAATAGAAAATAACGGTTTGTAAGCCGTTCACTCGGCCCAGATCTTGGGTGGACTGCTGCCTTATAATCGCGTCCACCAACGGCTTCTCTCGGCCATGTGCTCGTGCAGAGCCTGAAGAGCTACAGACTCCATCGCCGGAGCAAGTGGGAGGTCTTAAAGTAGGGGTCCCTGAATACAGGAAGCAAAATCACACATGTCAAGGAATGACACATTATCAAGTTGGTTTAGAAATATCCACTCTAGACTGGCAAGCACAAATGACATGGAAAAACCAAAGTCTTGGTAGAAAACATGTTTTTTCAACATGTCATTCATGGCAAATTTCAATCCATCCTGACAGTCTGTCAGACAAAAAACACGGGGCTACTCGGCCATTGGCTTTAATCTATGCCCCCATTTCAAACGTTCACATTTCTGGTGGTCCATGGGGTCCATGGGTCCATGCACACAGGGCTCACGTGGGGTCCATCCTGGCATGCCCAGTGCCACACACACACTATGAGTGAGACAATACATGTGAGTGAAGCAGCCAACATGACCTGCGCATGATGCTCTGATGCCCCGAAGCCCACGCCTCTTTGACCCTGATTGCCATTCTTTTTAGTGGCAGGTGCACCAGCAAGGCCTCGTTTTTGCAAAGGCCAAACAAATCAGAAGGCGAAATGGCTGGCGTGGAGTTCGACTTTGTGCATTGACCAATGTTGGACCAAGTCTTTAAAAAAGGAGCATCTGAAAGCAAATGTCTCTCAAAATCTCTGGGGAGCATGACGGACCAAAAGGGAGCCCTTTTTGGTCTGCTGGAGCTCAAAAAGGTCTGGCCTGAAACAAAGAGCTTCGACAATTCATCCGATTGGTAAAAAGCCGGGGATGGTTCACTCCTCAAATCAACAAAACGGACCGCTGAGATGAGCCTAATTACCATTGGGGTGTTTGGCATTGACAGTGAAACATGTGAAACATGATGAAACATGATTGAAACATGTAATCCTTCTGGAACGCATTCTCCAAGAAAGCCTCTTGTACGTCAAATCGTCCAATGACAACACTTGCCTCTTTCCGAATTGCTTCTTGTTCTTCTGCATGCTCTTTGGTAAATCTTTGACCAAGCACCTGCAAGCAAAGCGTACTGCAATGATCTGCAGCGCAAAGCCAGCAACCCACGAGGATGACCTCCCTTCCAAAAATGATTGTTTCCTTGTTGAAATTGCTGTAGACATCTGTAGACTGGATCAAACTGGATCGACCTTCAACAATACCTACAACAAAAACGGGCACCGACTCTCCGGCACTTCTCAGGCAGTGGCTCTCCATGGGCAGTGAGGTATTCAATGACATTTTTGAATTCCTCGCATTTTTTGGCACGAACAGAAAAGGCCTAGGACATCCTAGGACGAAAGGATAAGAAATCAATCATCCTGATGTCAAACATCATCAAACCTCTGCCTTTTTAGTCAGCCTGCTTTGAACAACAGCACGTGCTTGTGCTCTTGACTTCAAAAGGCTGGCCTTTTCATGTGACTTGTCACTTCTGCGCAACCAATCTCCGCATCCCATCTGCGGTCTTCCGCTCGCATCAAATCTCCTTACTGCCAATCTCCTCAGATCCATCCTGGACGAGAACAGGCCTTCGGACCCTACCCTCTTCCGGCGGCCCAAATTCCTTCCAAAAAACACCGATTCACCGGGACCCAACAGAGTTTCGCTTCGTTGACGTTCGGCAGTCGGACGTCGGACGTGCTTCGAAACAATGTTTCCGAACAGCGGCCCAACTAGTTCGTCAGGCGGGCTGCGTTCGTGCGTGGGGCCACGTAAAACCTGCAGATTTGTGGATCACTTCCGTTTGCTCAATCGGCCCGGGATCCAATGACCAAATCATGGCGTCGAGTTGCGAGTTCTGTTTCTTCAACATCCTCGGTCGAATCGCTTCGCAAATGTCTCGGAGTAGCGCACTCCTACCTCGCCCGTTGAAAGTGGTTGTAAAGGTCTGAGTGAATCATCGTCCCACTCCTCCGCGAATCAGTTACTGACTGGCTTGATCTCACATACGACTTGTGTATACCAACTATAAATCATTGCTGCAGCAATTGTATAATATAATTATACAATTTCTTCACATGAAGTAGAGTGTGTATCTCATGTTAAATAATTCACGCTATATAAGTCAGAACGCTGATTTTTTTGTGGATTCTTGCAAAAGACCGCGGCTCAACCGAACACTCCTCTGAAAATGTAGCGGCAGGTCGCCATCTCAGCCTTAAGCGACGCTGAAATTGCCCCGTACGTGTAGTCCAAACCACCGCGGATGTTTCAATGGGAAACAAGCGGCATCAATGGACAAAATTCCTCCACCCCTTGGCAACAATCGACATAAACCTGGTCCTTGGGATTCTTTGGGTCGAACTTTTTTTTCCATGTCGTGTTTTGGATTTCGCATTAAATTCATTATGTTCCTTCACCTAACAAACAAGGATTCTAGGTTGGCAGTGTATAATATGACAAGAATATAGATGTATGATGATGTATGCATAGTATATAATAAATGACGATTGAACACGCTTTTGCATATATATATTTGTACAAATGGCTGTCACCGTTGCAGTGTCAAGTTGGGCTGTCCAAAAGGTGGAAAACTGTGGAAAACCGCGCTCCCTCAGGTTCCCGTGCTTCTTGGGGTGCTGGAGTAATTTGCCATGAGCTTGAGGCAGCATCTGCAGCGGATCCAGCGATCGCCGTCATATGAGGCTTCCCCGAGCTCTTCAAGTCTTCACAAACCATGGACTGTTTGTTGTCAGTTGTCGGTCGCCTAACTGGGCTATCACTAAACTGCGGCTAGTCTTTGCTGCACATGGATCTTGCTCTTGATTTTAGCAAACCAAAGTTAAGCAAGTTCCTCATATGAATACAGTATATGTGCATCGGATATCAAAACATGTCAAAACGATGGGGAGAAAGAAAGAGAGAGAGAGAGAGGTGTCCTACAAATGAAAAACAACACGAAGCATCCAACTCCTGTAAGAGACTCTGCAAAGACTCGCTGAGGTCAGGGGTTTCCTCAGGCGGTTACTCTGCAAGAAGAAGACTCAGAACGCTTCACTGCCATAAACATAAAGAAACTGAACCAGGAGTCACAAAGGGGTGGTTTTTAGTCCCTAAGTGCGTGGATAATGAGCACCCCTATCCTCCAATAGGCATCCCTTTGTGACTTCTCATCTTCACGACGGTCCTCGTGTTATTTATTGTTTGCTGCAACGGTCACGCCGTGGGGATGATGAAGAGTTGATTGGGCAAGAAGAAAACAAGAGTTGTTTGCTGGCTTGAAGATCGATTATCATATCAAGTCTGCTACTAGTAAGAAAAGGAATATTTTGCCAAATATCCGTCTTCAGTATCAATTCTAAAAAGATTGTCAACATAGGTGAAATATTGCTCAGTACGGAACATTCAATACTGTCATCAAGTGTGGGATACTGCTCTCCACTCAAGGTGTCTTACCGGTATCTTTCGGACATTCCACTGAGCTCCAAGCCACCAAATCGTCGCGGTCCTTAGGGCCTCACACCGTTTGGTTGGGCCAACAAATTGGTTCCAAACAGTCACAACGGATTGAATGCATGTGCAAAGTACAGCAGGAGTATCATTACAGCGTGCCTTCTGAACGGGTTGAAACCTGACGTTTTGTGTAAACAAACATGTTACAAGCAAATACATTTAAAGGCAAAAGCGCCTTGAGATCTTTCACACCGCTTTCACAACAGTTCCAAACCTTTCTGGCCAAGTGTGCAACATCTACTCATGACATAGAACTGGAAAAAATCAGCCCCGGCAAGACCCTGTTGTCTTCTTGGTCATGACTGGGCCTCCTTCGTGGTTTGGGCCACCCGGTTCCACCGCCGGTTCCCGGCAACCAACCCGCGCGCCTCGTGCGTGCCGCGCACCTTGGGACTCGATCGAGCCCTTGGGAGGTCTCCAAGGACAGGACTGTGTCGTTGTCTGGGATGTACTCCAAAGATCTTGTTGTCTGGGATGTACTCCAGAAATCTCCAGAATATGATTGTACTACGATGTTTTTTCTTGGTTGGATGACTCCAAAGTCTGTTCTTGGTTGTTTGTCCAGGCTCGTGGTCTGTCTCCTGGTTGTCTCCAAAAAGTATCAAAGAAATATGGTTCATCCAGGGGACGACTCCAAGAGCAGAAACAAAGCAATTCGTCCCCTAAGAGGGCATCGTTGTACGTCGACCTTCAACTCAAAGAAAAGGAATTGAAGAAAAGATTGAGTATGGATTGAGTTTGGACTGATCTGTCACCCATTCTCAGATTTGGATCTGTAGGTTTGGAAAACGTTCTAGTAACTGTAGTAGGGAATCTTATCTGGCTCCAACTCGAAAGAAACTCAGCATCAGTCGTCTTCTTCTTCCATACGGAACCCCATCGCCTGACTCATTCCATGGTTCGTTCCATTCATCCCACCATGATGCCGGATATAAGGCCTGACCACGGGAGCAGGATGGTTCCTCTGATCTCTTTGACAAAGTATATATTGAATATTGAGTGACAAACCGTGCACCCTCTGAATAGGATGGTGCAATGGGCATTTATATAGTATATTTTCATTTCTATCCATCAACGTCATTGCAATGTGTTCAATTTATGATTGAATTTCTCGAGGAGCGGCTTCCTGCTGTGCCAGAAGACACAATACACAGAGTGTCTGTTTCCACCAAGTGCCAAAAGTATGTTAGATCGACCCCTATTGGTTTCCAGTGTTTTGCAATGCAGGCAATAAGCAACTCTCAATCAAGAAAGGGTATCGGTATAGGGTTTGGCCCCTATCGGCTTTGCAAGGTTTTGACCAATTCAGAAATCCGCCGGCCTGCCGGCGTGTTTTGTGGATTGTTTTGGTTAGTATTGCTTGTGTTGGCTTCAATCTACGGTTTGTCTCTCCGCGCGGATTTTTCGACAGCCTGACGCCCCCCCCCCTGTAGTAGTAGCAGCAGTAGTAGTAGGTAGTAGGTAGTAGGTGGTACGTAGTAGGTAGTCGGTAATAGGTAGTAGGTCGCTGGATCAGAATAGACAACCATTGGACTGAGACATGTCGATCGCTGGATCAGAATAGACAACCTCTGATTCGGATTCGTTCCATTTCATTGTAAAACGACTTCGCTTGAAATCAACAGCAACAAACTCTCCCAGCAAAATGTGCAACTCCAATGCACCCACAAGTCTGATTGAGCAGGGTATTGTTGTTCGATGTCATTCTGGGTCATCTCAAACGGTTTGGAGAAAAAAACGACAAATCATGCCAGATCTAGAAATTCTTCGGTCGCTTTGAAGCCTTCTGTGTGTGAAAAAGACTATCTGGTGCGTGTCGCAATCCCTCGAGACGGTCGAAAAAAAGATCTGAAAAGGAAAACATGCACACGGCCAAGTAGTTTGGAAGAAGAATCGTTTTCAAGGTCATGTTTTGTGGATAGTCTTGGTTCGCATTGCTTGTGTTGGTTTCACTTGGTTCCTCTTAGGTGATTCGACCGAGACATGCCGGTTCGGATCGCTGGATCAGAATAGACAACATCTGATTCGGATTCGTTCCATTTCATGGTCAAACAACCTTGAAATAAACATCAACAAACTCACCCAGCCAAATGTGCACCTCCAATGCACCAACAAGTATGATTGAGCAGGGTATTGTATCATTAAGCTGCCTGCCAATGCGGGCTCGAGCTGGTGGCCGGCGGCATGCCGAAGGCTGTAAATACTTAAGGTGGCTCATGACTAAAGTGCATGTGCGGAAGTTTTGTCGGATGCTCATATAACAATATATGCCATGCCGATTGCATTTGGTGAGTGGATGGTAGTCGGTAGTCTCAAACACATTCATTTTCCCATGCAGGGCTTAGCACGCTTAGCATGCTCGAAAGCCGAGCCAACTGCACAATGCCATAAGCTTTTGGGCAGCTGATGCTGACCGCCTCTCCCTTGCTGGACGGACAGCGGCCTCCTGCAACTGTACCCGGAGAAAATTGATCGCCTCCAGCACCTCAGGTGCCTCAAACACAGCGTTTCTTTCGTCTGAAGATTTGCGGTCAGTGAGATGAGGTCAAATGAAGTGAGGTCAATGTGGTGTAACTGTACCAACTATCGAGATCCACAGGCAGTTGGGAAGTTCCGGACAAATAGACCCAAAGCATAAGCCTATAAACATCTATAACATTCTATAACTATCCAAAAAACATTGGCTGAGATGCCGAGAGGTCTACCAATTTCAATGCAAAGCCATCACAAGCCAATTAGTCCTGTTGAAATAGAAAACGAACGTGACTTTTGTGGCGGCTGTTCACCTGCCATTTGTTTAGACCTTACTCCTCGTCCAAGGAGGAGTGTAGACTGTAGACCAAACATCAGATGCTCAACTGACTGGGCTGGCCGAGACACCAAAGTCTTCGCCGGCAGATTCACCAGCTCGTGATGTAATATGCGGACACCCCACACCTGGAGAACATCCAGCGCCGGAGGGAATGAGCGTTGCTTTCCCCACAGGCTGCTTGCACGTCTCGTTTCTTGTGCGTCTCTCTCGCCATGCCAAGTGATTTTCGGTTTGACCATTAGCTCCATGCTCTCCGCCTCTGTCGACCTGGAACGAACGTTCAGTTTGACCACTCGACGGGTTCAAGGTCGCTCCTCTCCATTCTGATCCACCGCCCAGTTCAAAGCCCAGCGTTCTGGGCAAAGGGTGGTCAGTAGTAGAGGCCTGGAAAACGGCTGCTTTTTGAGTTGAACGGCGAAAGTCCACGTTCAATTAGAAAAAGGTGCGCGATTATCGCACGGCACAGTGGAGAACTACTTCTTTCTTGAGGTTGCGGAGAAATAGCCCTTTCACAAAGGCTTGGATTGGCTGCTACCTGGCTTCACTATCCCACGCAGTGCCACCCGTCTCTGAGTGCCCGCGACAGAAATCTTAATGGCAAGACAGTCGAGCCCGCAACAAAGGCCTGCATCGGGAAACTCCAAGTAGTTTTCATCTTTTGCCTTTCGACTGCAACATATTACAACATATTACAACGACCACAAATTCCGCTACCAAATTCCGGGCCGAAACCAAGCCAAGCGCACGCACAACCGTCGTCTCGGTAACTCCAACGACCCCTCTGCACAGCCCAAACAATGTCTGCCAAACAGGCGACAGGCGATGTCGACCATGTCGATGCCTGAGCCCCGCCCTCCAAACCTCAGAAACGTCCATGCCATGCCATGAAAAATCCTAGCACTGAAGCGCAAGTGCACAGGATGATGTTCCATGAGTTCAGCTGTGAATCGCATTGAATCGCGGCAGTGTTTTCAGTTGTGTGTTATCAACCCGAGTAGCCATGGGCCTCCAAGCCGAGGATACGTGCTTCATGGGTACGCGACTCAAGCAAACAACCAAGCGCACGCGACTTGTAGCCGCGCAGGCACCGCTCCGACACTCACCGCTTTTTTGAGGAGTCTGCCTTGAACGGAAGCACAGCCTGGGAAGTCTCGCTTGGCAAAGCAAATGCTAAAGAGCAAGGAACTCAAACAAGAATGGAACAATGTACTGTACTCTTGATTCATACAACCCCCGGCCATTGGGATTGTAAAACCTCTGAGTCTAATTGAGTCTACATCAATGGAACCACAGGCAGCCAAACGGACTAAACTCTGCTGCAAGGGGCATCCCACGAACTCTGTCGGAGGCAACGTCTCGTCCACGTGGCATGCAAAGCCTCAACTGAATGGAGACTCAATTCGACAAATCCACGCCCGTGTCGCCCGTGATTCGCCACAGTATGCTGTGTGTTATGCTGTCCGCATGTTGTGTATTGAAATAGGAATACACACTCCTCACAAAATAGCCATGGTATCCTACTATGAAATCCTATTGAACCCAGCATTCCAAGCATGCAGCAGACTGTCAGCTGTGCATCTGACCCAAGGGGTTCCGCCAGTCACACATGCCCTTGACGGTCGGAGGCTTCTTCTTGTTGTTCACACCTTGGTCGGGGGATCCAAGTCTGCAATTGGGAAAAAGAATCAACGAACTAAACGGACCTGAAGCTGGTGTGAATGATGTTCACGAGTTACCTTTTGTGGCTGGGTGTTGACGCAACACGGTTGTGGAGCACTGCACTCAACCCTTGATCTGCGGATTGTGATGCTGCGCATCTGTCATTTTGTCAATTTTCTTTTTGGAGCATGTGTGTGTGTGCATGCCTTCCAGCTCCTTCAGGGTGTGAACTACTAAGGGCTATCAAGTTTTGGCACACCAAGTGGCCCACTCAATCTCCCTTATTTCGGCACACGCAGGGATAGATTCCCCTGGGGCTCTCCGGCTTCCTCCTGGATGGGTGAGAACATCCCACTGCCTGGCCCAGGAAACCGTCATCTTCACCTCTACACAAGAAGACATGTCCGTCTTCACCTGCGGTCGGTGAAATCGATGTTTTGAGAGTTCATCAACATGTTCGTGGAAGAAGAAAAGAGACTGCATGAAGATGCTGCAACCAAGATGTGTCCACGAGCGAACTCTGAGATCTGGACAGCATGAAAGGATGGATGGGTTTGAAAAGCTCCACTGGCTCCTGTGTGAACATCTTGCTCCAAGCACATGTGCAAAATTGTGCAATCTGAGCAATTGAGAACAACATAGGAAAAACGAACGGACAACTCTCATAACGAACCTTTACAGGACTTTGACGGCATTGATTTGAGTTTGAAACTCGTGAGCACTCAAGTGAGGTGAAGTCGAAGTTCCAGCCAGTTCCACCTCTGGGATGCTTCTCTTTAACTGATCAGCAGTATTGTCAGAGAAACCGAAGCTAGAAGCTTCCACCCACACGCGTCACTACGGCGTTCTCTGGCCGTTCTCTCCCGTGGCCTTGTCGGACCTCTCAACGAAAAAGCGATATCGACCTCAGTCGTTCGGTTCGTGAGGGCTCTGGGCATGGCAATCCCGAGGCTGCCCGAGTCTGTATCTGCATGTGTCGTCCTTGCAAAAAAATCAACCGACCGAGAGATGGCCCGCCAGATGCCCCCAGATTGGTATTTTCGGCCGCCCTGCCAGATCCAAACATGTGAAGCCGATGGATTGAGGATGGCACATCCCACCTAAGCGCGTTCGCCCACGGCGAATCCAGTTCCAACCTAGAGAATCATCCAGAATCCCTAAAACTTCACAGAGTGGGCAGTTTCTATAGGATGACATGCATAAGAACTTGGGCTTTCGGACAGTAACACGTCATCGTGATCTAACGCATCCTGTTCCGCAGTGTGCCTAGGGCAGGAAGGCTGTGGCTGCTGAGATCGAAGTGGCGCAATGCAATGCAATGCAATGCATTTACACTCAAGAATTGTCAGGTTTTGACAGGTCGCGGAACACTGCCTGAACAGTATACCCAGCGGCAAAAGAAGTGTCTTGGAGAGCTTGCAAACAATTTGCACATGTTGCAGGCGTCACAGTATCGTAGTTTCTCTGCTCAATGCCTTGGCTGCATGGATTAGTCCTGATCGATCCTAGAACCCTATACAGCAAATGCCCTCTTGGGGACAAGCTGGAAGGACACCAGCGCCATCTTGGCCTGTCAGCAGTCGTGGCAAATGGGGTTCGACATGCAGGGTACAAGCAAGGTGCGCAGGTCGTAGGCCGCCGGTGACACTCCCATTGTCATATCTTTTTGGTTGCAGAACAACTTCTGCACAACTTCCGAAAAAGTCTGCTTTGCAGCGGAACACCGGTCCTTTCGCCACGGAAACGCACACGGACCCCGGTCCGGACCGACCCGTCCGGTCGGGAACAACCGGTCCTTCACCGGATGGGTGCATGGCTATCATGAGGCAATGGAGACGGAACGATAGAGATGAATCGATGATCTTCCATGACTTGATGGTATTGCTGGTATTGCTTGATGATGCTTGATGCTACGATCTCTGATATGGTATTGCTTGATGTCGATGCTACGACATCTGATGTTGTCTTGAGTACCGCATTGTCCAGCCTTCTCAATCACCAGAACTTGCTCAGGCTGCTCTCCACACCTTGGAACGGTGCAGCAGCGGTGTTCGCCGTTGCCACGGTGCCAGCGTGAGCGGAGGCTTTCATGGGAAGTCGTTGGCTGTGGAGGATTTGCTATCCATGGTCCCTAGCTCTTAGGTTGGAGGCCATCGCTAGTAGGAGGCCATCGCTGTTAGGTTCCTTGAAGTCTTTTTCACGTCGCCCACCCCACAAACTTCGCGTCCTCAGCTTCCATGGTCCGACTCAGATCAGCACATGTTGGCCGCAAGCTCGCTGATGCTGTCCTGAACGTATGGCTTTTCAGGTGCAAAGACTAGACGTTCACTTGCGCACATGTCATGCGCTGTACGGTAAGGCTCTTCCAACTGGTGGGGCCATGTCAATCCAATGATTCTCAGGGGCCCACGGAAACTTGAACTGCAGAATGGCAACTGATTTTGAGTTCTTGCCCCTTGCCTAAGTGTTGTCAAATACATGTGCGATGTTTTTCGCAGGTCTGTCGAGTGATAATCAATGCACCAGGATGCACCAGGAGCATTCAACCTCATGGCCTGTGTATACTGGTGCGTACTGTGCGTACTACCTAAGCTCGCTCAGTCCGACGGCTTGATGCTGAGCATCGCCCCCGTTCTCTCCTCGTCCTCGCCGGTGGGCACGAAAATACCAACCTTGGCAGGACGAGAATTGAGGGCTGCAAGCGATCACGCAGCGTACCGCTGGCAAATCTTTGGAACAGGTTACAACTGGCACACTTCCAATCGCTTGGAACAATGCTGTGGCATCTTGGGCTGTAGCCGTGTTGTGCGGATCCAGGCTGTTTTTTAGCATCAGGTCCAGCAACTGCAGGTGTAATTCAGGGCAGGAAGATATGCCGATAGGCCGATAGGTATTTGAGTAAGTCCATGCCCACTACCACACGCTAAGCCACGCCAACTGGGTGATCTTGCAAATGAGTTCAACACAGTTCAACCACAAGGAAAACTAGAAACTGTTGGTTTCCACCAGTTACAGGTTCAAGTACACCAGTCAACAACAACGATATCCTCCTCTTAGGCAAGAACTGTTGAAATGCTTACATGACTACCATCACTAACTGGGTCATACCTTCGCAAATGACTTTCTCCTCAATGAGGGATGACAATGACATGACCTTGCACGTCCAGTGAGCAGTCGTCTGCAAATTCCCGGTATGCGGATGGATGCCGGAAACAAGCAGAATAATATCCTTCGTAGGGAATGAATCTTGTCACACTTTATATTCTGTTCATCTTGGTGTTGCCTCCTTCCGCTCACCCAGCTACTTGTGGCTATCATTGAGCCTAAACGTATTCCGCGAATGGAAAAAGTCGATTCCGACTCACAGATAGCGAATTGACCAAATAGAGAAGGGTGACGCACATGTTTGCTACAAAACCCACCCACAAAGGAGTCTCTGACTCATGGAACGCTCGAGCTCGGAATTCTGCAGGACAGGTTTGTCTACTAGTGAGTTGCAGAATCTAGACTTAGAGCTTGATTGTTCTGGCAGCCTGGCGATTCGCAAATTCTGCGAGACTTGAGGGATACAGCCGGCGCCAGCTGCGATTCCCTGTGGTGCAGCTCAACCCTTTGGGTGAAAAGAGTCCAACGAAATCTTCATGTTTTGAAGATGCCAACGGGGCAAACAATTGGTTTGTTTTCTTTGAACTCTTGGTTTGTTTCGTCAAAACCCTGCAAACTCGACGGACACGCTGTGTGACTTCATGCAAACTCCAGAAGCCACCTCTCGCCTCTTGGCAACCCTCTGAAACACACTCCAAGCTGCACAAAGCAAGCTGGCAAACAAGGGCGGAGATCAGCCGGATAGCGCCCCATCCGAAAGAGGAGTTGAGCTGCGCCGAGCCAAAGATTGACTTTGGATTTCCAAAGTACTTGGGGTGATTCACCTACACAGCACGGTGGGAAATCCTCATCACGGTGGTCTCCCCCGCGGCCAATCAGGCTCCTGAACACGGTGCTCCCACCGGTGTCCCGACGTCGGTGTCCTGACCGTCCGGTCCGACCGTCGCTCTCGCTGCGACCCTCGCGACACACCGTCCTGCAGTGGTTGGTATCAAGGGTGGCATCTTGGTGGCCTCCCAGGCCTTGGAGATGTGGCCGTGGACCGGGACCGTTTGTGTTGGTTTCATCCATTTGATCCAAAACTTGGTGGGGTCTATATATATATATATAGAAGGAGCTATGTGAGAAGAGGGTTTGCAGTTGTTGAGAACTATAGAAGAGGGTGTGCTCAATCATCTCAGTGTCGCAGAAGTTATAGAAGGGATTTGCTGGAATTCGATCTCATCCATCTCAGTTTGTGTACGTCTTACCTAAACACCAGGCCTCATCCATCTGAGCTTTGAATGTCTCTTCCAGAGTTCTTGACACTTGCCATCACATGCTGTCACTCTCTGTGGCACGTCTGATTCTGAGGTCCGCCGCTGCCAGCATTTGTGACCCTGGCGACGTAACTGGATAGGGTCTGTTCTGTAGATTCTTGAAGGTAGGACGGTGGGACACGCAAATCTGTTTGGAAGCTGTTGGCCCGCCTGGCCCCTCTTGCATGCAAACTTCTTTCACGCTGGCTGCGGCACCAACATCTTGCATGCACCACAACTAGTGTCCCATCTCTCTCACAACAACGGTACAAACACATACCCTGCCCCACAGGATTTAACGGTGGACCTGAGCCGTTCAGGCGCGTCGCAGGAGGCGAGCTTGGAGCATCCTGACCAAGACCCGCGGACCGGTGGTGCAAAGACCCGCGGACCGGTGGTGCAA